TTATCTTGAAATGCTAAGCATCTACACTTTTTTTCCTGGCACATAACTGGAAATTCTCGATGAATTTCTTCTCCCAGTGATGATCTGTCAAACAACTTCTGCCTTTCCAAGACTGTGGAAGGAATAAATCATTCCTGAGACTGTGATGGAAGATTATCAGGGTATTCCTTACTGTCTTCAAGTGATGGTTTCAGAAAAGTCCCTTCACATAGCAGTTTTTGTACCTTTTGCTTGTTTCTTGGATTGGGACATGAAGGACAGCAGCCTAGAAAGAGGGGAAGAAGGCAGAGAGGAGAAGAAATATGGAGCTGAGTAGAAGAGAAATGGGCTGAGTAGAAGAGAATGAGTAGAAGAAATATGGGCTGAGTAGAAGAGAAATGCCCGGATGAGCCTACCCAGAGCGTGGTGCCTGTCCTCCTTCTTGAAGGGCTCCAGCTCTGCCTGTTTGCTGTTAGGGAAGACATTTAAAAGTTAAACTTTCAAGGCCTCATTCTAAAAGTGTATCTTGGATTTAGCCTTATTCTAGGTTATTTTACCCCACACAGGAGCAGAATGAATGACTCTTATGTGTTCCTCATTAAAAAAAAAGCAGAGTGGTGAACGGCAGATTCCCCACCTCTGGCACTCATCAAACTATCATTCAGACTTATCTTGAACCCAAACTGAAGACCTAGAACTCCATCAGACACTTTTCTTGTCCTAGTTATGCGGCTTGCTGTGCTGCGTGATCTTACTCAGATCACTTTGTGTGGTTCTATCTTCAAGGCTTCTATTTGGTTTTTAGACCATTGCTCTTTCTAGGCCTCTTGGTTAAAGTCTTTTGCTGCCATTCGCCCCACGTTCCCTGGTTCCTACCACCTGTCAGTGCTGAATTAGATGGTTCATAACCATACAAGTCACTCATTTCCAGGCAGTGCCTCTAACTTGTCAAACCGTTGGAACAATGCCTCAACCTGTAAAGGTGTGTTTTAGGCAGGTCTCTGACCCGTGTAATCAGGTGATTCCTTTGCTGGTCAAATCTGCCTACAAAGTTTAAATGTTCTCATGTACAGACCAGACTGTGGTTGGCTTGGCTTCATGACAAAGCAAGGTAGTTTATTTGGAAGTGGCAAAGAAAGAAAATGATTTTCTTGGGCCACAAAAGTGTGTGTGTGTTTTATCTCAATGGTGACACTTCTGCTTATGTTAAGGAGAGGGGAAGAAACACATAACCCAAAGGATATTGAGTTGATAGCTAAACTGTTCCTTAAACTTGAATACTGGCACCTTTTGTTATCACTCGTTGCTTTGATATTTTTTTAAAGAAAATGATTAAAAGCCTCCTTTTAAAAAGTCTATTAAGGAAGTATATATTTCTAAAACAACCTCAGATCTCCCAAATCCACCAAAATCGAAATATGTCTAAAAATAAATACACTGAGGGCTGGGGTGTGCCTCTGTGGTAGAGCACTTATCTAGCATGTGTGAGGCCCAGGGTTCAGTTCCCAATATTGGGGGGAAAAAAGCATACTTTGCATTTTCCTTGTATAAATTGCCATTTTTTGATTCCAGATGGTATGAATAAAGAAAAAAATATAATTAATAAACATGTATTTGACTCCTGAGGTTATAATCAGGGTGCTTGTTCCTTAGAACAGATAGCAAACTGTTTGCAAAGAATCTTGCAAAACCAAAGTCTATTTTAGTTCTTGACAATTTTCTGATAAGAACTTTTAGATTTTCTTTTGTTGTAGCGTTTAAATAGCTAAAATGCTTTCATTAATATAGATTATTTATTTACTTTTAAATTCATCAATTTCCTTTTTCTAGTAACAAGTGGAAAAAACAAAGCTACCATGAATTGAAATGGTTTTTTCTCGCATTACATAACTAATAAGATGAAAATTTATGACAAAAATTCAACCAGTGAAGAAGAGTTATGCCAAAATTTCAATATAAATAACTTTTTATGATCAAGTTATAAACTACATGATATGGATTTCGTTTACAGCGCTAACATCAATAGATACTAAACTCTAATGCCAAGAGCAATAAAATGAGAATAACGAGAAAAAAATAACACTGAATGACCGCATGAAAAAACTAGAAAATTTTCAGTGACTTCCAATCCTTATCAGTTTATTTCCTAAGAAGCTTATAATGAATTTATATTGATGATGGCTACTTGTTTGTAGGAGACCAGATAGAAAAATTAAAGCCTAACTGGTCTCTTCTGTGAGCATTAGAGAAAAGGCGATGTGAGTGAGTGCTGACATGCTGCAGGGGAAATTAATCCAGTTTAGACCCTGTTGTTTACTCACATATGTGCTATGGATGGGTGGCAGACAAATGAATCCTGTGTTACTCTTACTGTTTGTGCATGTGTCTGAGTGAATGAAGCCAGGGTGCGGCAGTCCCTGGGGGCTCTTTGTCAAAGGGAGACGAGACTCACCCCCGAGCCCGCACATTTTAACCTATTCTGTGTCTCTTTGTTTCTCGTCCTCCTGGCCCCTTGGTCAGGTACAAGCTGGTCGGTTGGTCCCCTACATGTGCTTTCCTAATGACATCTAAATGCATGATCAATACATGATAATTAGGCTAGGAGAGAACATTCTTAATTAGAAACCAGTCAAGACACAATGAAAACCTGAGCTGGTATGGGGGAACGAGAGAAAAAAAATGATTTCCTGGTTTGTTTTCAATGATGGAGATGATGGGAGGTAGTTTGGTGTTATGGCTTATCTCTTCCCCACACTTTAAGAGGAATGGCAAATAGTGTGGAACTGTACAGACTCGGAATCATGTCTCCTTGTTTTTGAGACCTTGATGTGGCCAATGACCCGAGCTTTGAGTCCCACATCTGTGAAACAGTTACACCATGTTTGTACCTAGTTAAGTAGTTTTGAAGATGAGAATAGATACCAACCTATAAGAAGCTTACCAACAGATGGTAACTGTTTTGATTATAGAGAGGTCTACATGAGATGGAATTATATATGAAACATCTGTCAAGTAACAAAACTTCTGAAATGTTAATTCCTCTTCTCCTAGTAAGAGATATTTTAAAAAACAGTCTCTATATAATCCTTCCAGTTTGGTAACTAAAAGGAAAGCACACACTGATATGTTATTATGTGAAGCACATCTAGGGGAGGGTTGCGTAAGTGAGAATAATAACATAAGCCAGCACTTATTTAGTTTGCATTTTATCTGTAATAGGCATTATTCTAAGTGCTTTTCATGCACTGACTTCACCTATTCTCTTCGCAGTCTTCTAAGGCAGGTGATCTCCTTCTGACAATTTTTTAGATAAAGAATCCGAGACTCAGAGAAGACAAATAACCTGTCCGAGGTCACACCGGTCATGAGTGGCAGGGCTGAGATCCCGCCCACGTCTGTGGACTGTAATACTCTGCTCTCTGGCCTCACTGCTCTGCTTGATGTTGATGTGCTGCAATGCTGCATATGCTGCTGCTTTTGTCCCTCTTTCTTCCTCCACTAAGCAGAAGCAGGCAGGAGTATCATTACAAGACATTCACATGGCAAGGCCAAGAGAAAAGAGAAGTACATCTCTACTGCAAACCACTTCAAAGTTTAGATTCAATTCTGCCTTTCTCAGACACCAGGTGCCAACTCTGTCCAGTTTCATCCCCTGCTTTGCCCCCAAAATTGTCTGAGCCCCTAGTACCGCTTACCTAGACTGCTGTAGTCGTGTTGGTTCCCATATTACCCTCCCCGATGACCCTTTACAGCCCACTATTCACTGTGTCTACAGTACCCTGAATTATTATTTTTCAATTGAGAGACCACATCATGGCACTCTCCTGCTAAATGCCCACTGCACTTAGGGTGAAAGCCATGCTTGCTTGTGTGGCCTTCAGGCGGGGGATGGGGTACCTGCCTTCCTCTCTCAGGTCACCCCAGACCATCTCTCTCTCACCATCCACCAACCACACATGATTTACTTGATTTCTCAGCAGGTCACACTCTTTGTTGGCTTCTGACTCTTTCAGGAGGTATCTCACCTGCATAGAGCATTTCTCCTCTAGAACTCTACACTGGGCACTTCCTTAACTTTTGAGTCTCAGCGGAAGTGATACCTCTAATTAAGGCCTTTGCTATCTACACAGTGCACAGTAGTCTCTATGTACTGTTTCTTCCTTTGCTTGCTTTCTCTCTCTTCCCTGCAGCATGTGCATTCCTCAAGAGCAGGGTCTTGAGGAAAAAAAGGAAAGCACACATTGTTATGTTATTATTACGTGAAGCACATCTAGGGGAGGGTCACATAAGTGAGAATCGTACCAAAAGCCAGCATTTATTTATTTTGCATGTAACAGGCATTATTCTAAGTGCTTTTCATGCACTGACTTCATCTATCCTCTTCACAGTCTTCTAAGGCAGGTGATCTCATTGTCTTCCTACCCTAGGGTCCTCAGCACCTAGAACAGTGGTTGGCACAGAATTCATGCTGGATAGTGGGTATTAACCCAGCTGAAGGCTTCTACAGCTTGTGTTACTTAGCATCCATCCTTTAAGGGCCTAAAAATAAGGCATGGACAATATATTTTTGAAGGTGTTTCTGGGCTGGGATGGATTTTAATTGTTCTTCTGGCCTTCTGGGCTTTAAGACCCCACGACAGCTACAGGACACAATTAGCACCCCAGCGCTTAGGGCCGGTGGGCCTTGTAGGGTTAAATATCTCAGGATGTGTCACAGCAGTGTTGTGTTATGCATCTTTGCTCCAGGAAAATATTATGCACTTGGCAATCCAGCAGAAAATTCCCCTCAGAGAAGGGATCATTCCTCGTGATGGATGGACAGTTTCCAGCGGTGGTTTCCACAGCTGGGCTACTTCCTCATTTCTAGTTTGGTGAAAAAGTGAAAGCTGAAGGATGTTCTTCTGTCAAAAAAAAAGAACCTATCAAATAATTATAGCTATTATTTCACATAGAGCTGCCTTTTTTCCCCAGCAGTGCTGCTAAGATGCTAGGAAAATAAATATTCGTAAGCAGTCAATATTAAACCATGGGCCATAGAGGAAGTCATTTATATACTGGATTTCTTTGTGAGGTTTAATTGCCAAAGATATTCCAAAATGTAGACTCAGCCCCGCCTGATAAAATGTGACCTCTTAGTGCACAGAAGGAAATCTGAGGTGAAGTGAACTGGGCTCTTTCCTGAGAGAAGAGCGGAGGAACAACGGCATGGTAAGTGAGGCTGCTAATGACCCGACAGTGAACTGTCAGCGTGGCATTGCGAGTGGCGTGCGGGCCTTGGCTCAGCCATGTGGCACCAGGGCACGAGCTGTCTCATGAAGCTTGTGACAGGAACCAGGCCTAGCCATATGCGACTCTGAAATCCTGTCCCTGGTGAGGTGGCCTGCGCATTCATTGCACTGGGAACTGGTTTAGAAGGTTTTCTTTCCTGGCATGGCAAATTGTTTTCTGCTCTCAACGTTCTAAAGAAATGGAAAAGAACAAAGAGAGAAAACAGAAAAGAAAGAACCACACTTGTACTTTCATTTAAGAAATTCATTTGTACTCCTTGAGTGTACGTCTGGCTAGCAGGGAAGTGGGAGGCGGATTTGTGATTTAAACTCCTTCACTGGAAAAATCCACAAGCAAATAATTTGCTTTGAGTGCATGGCCATCTCACTCTTAAAATGCTGCTGTGAACACTTTTCCTCCGTGTTCCAAAACCTTGCAGTGGAACAGCTCCTTTGTGCCCTGTTCTCTGCTAAAGCGCTCTATTCCAGAGGTGTTTTAACAAACCCTCCCCTGCTGGCTTCCTGCTAGAGTCACTGCATAATGGGTTTTGTCAGGAGAAACTAGTGGTGATGCGGCTAAGTCCTCCCTCCACCTGTAAAGAATCATTAATCTTGACTGTGAATAAATCCGAATGACTTGACTGAATAGAAATAACCTCGAATTGAAAATACAGGCTTTTTTCCCCTCCTGGCAACTTATTTTCTACACCTGTCTTGCTCCCACCCCCTCCTTTTCTTTCCTGTTTTTAAACTGACATCTCTGTACACTGGCAAGGATATTTTCAAAGACTTCTCCAACAGCCATGAATGCAGAGAATAGGATCTTCAGAAAGTATGTATTCTATTTTGAGGGCGAATGAATAGCATAACCTGAAGCGAGCGGCCTCTGTGTTGGAAAAACAAAGCAAAACAAAGCAGAACCTAGGTTTTACAAAGGATATATGAATAAAGTCATCCTAGGTTTAAGACTCAAATCAAATTAAGTGCAATTTCTATCTCCCTTTGAACAATATGTTTATACGTCTTCACAAAGTTGCCAAAGACGAAAAGCAAGGAGCTACACTTTGTTTTTCTGTTTTCTACACTACAAGTAATAACAGATAGCTGTGTATATCAAAATCTAGCAATGTAATTTTTCAAACATAAAAGAGAATAGTAACAATAGAGAATATGCATTGAACATGACTTTTAAAACAGGATCCATCCAATTTCCTAAATTGTTTTGATCCCTTCTGAGAGTGTAGTGAGTAGAACAAAATTAGGCAAAGATGAAATCTTATTCTTTATCAAGGAATAATATTCCTAACTTAAAAAATGTAATTTGTATCTGAAAAGTAAGATACTGCAGATAGGAAAGCTATAGACAGTGAATGATAAATCTGGTCCACCAGGTTCTGGCATGCAACAATGTTATGCAATGAGCCGTCATACAGAAAACAGTAACTATGGAAATATGGTAATGCTAATTAATGGTAAGACACAACATGTTTTCTATTCCTTTTTCCCACTGAATTGTTCAGCTTCAAAAAGGCCACCGGGCTATTTTTTTTCAGTAACTGTTTCATGAAGATTGTTAATATATGAAATAACTGAATTTGCAGAACTTTAAAAAGGAAGCAGTGGACACTATGCCCATTTCTGTCCATGTCGCAAATGATACCTATTTTTTTTTTGTAGTTTTAAGCCAGATGGTCAATGAAGGCAGTGACCTCAATAATAGCCAGTGTAATTACCTACTTTATTTTCACTGAAATTGAAACTTCATTGAAAATAATTTTGCTTCTCCATTTATTTATGGTGAAAAGTGCTTTTTACCTTTTGAACTTCAAGACTAGTGGGCTGAATATAATGGCAAGAGACTTCCTTTAATTACCTCTAATGGCTTCAGAGTAGGCTGAAGTTAAATTTAAAATGATATAGAGTTCTTTTGCTTCCCCCAGACTGGCAGTCCCTAATTTTAGAAGATTGCCACTACAGTGGTGTAACAGTAGAACTAATGTGTCATCACCATTAATCTTACTAATAGATTGAAAGTAAGGGGAATTTTGAACCAGCTTTTATTGTTCTGTGTATTTTAATATTTGACATTATACATATGGTGAATAAGAGTCTCAAACTTTCAGATGAGAACACATTGCAATCATATAGCTGCACTTGGGCTATTACAGCAAATGAGATCTACTTTTAATGGAAAATTGAGACTTTGTCTGGAATCTTATGGGTAAAAACCTAACATACTAAAGATGGGATCATTTTTAGATATCTCTAAGGATTCTGGGATACATATAAAAAAGTACTTAGAAAAATTTCCTTCAGTACACATAACACAAACAAGCCAAAAAAATTAATGTTCTGCTTCTGAACTATGATGGCAAAGTATTAGATTCATAATTTTCTAATACATTCGAAGCCAAGCACATCCTCGTACAACAAACTCATGAGTCTACTAATATAAATAATTTACTCTGGCAGCTTATGTATGATTAAAGCTGTAATATTTATGAAAGAATGCTGCAGTGTTCTTGTTACACAAATTTAATAAAAAGAAAATTATTATTAGAGAAAAAATGAATAACATTTTTCAGAACACTGAAAACAACTCCCCAAATCTATTTGCCTCTGAGAGCATTTCTTGAATATGTGATAGGCGTAAGTATGTTTTAATTAAACATGTTAAACAATATTCCCAAACTCTGTATTAACTGAGCACAGTAACACAGTTAGTGTAACCATGCCGCATATGTGCTCCTAACTTTGTCTACAACATTAAGTACAGCGTCATACTCATGTGTAAATGTGAATGGTACATAATGTGGTACTTCCAGACTTTTCCAAAATGGGCTGCTGTTTGTAGGTGAAATACAGGATTGGGGGACTTGTTACTAAAGGAGCCAGAAAATTAGACTTAGAAAATACTCTGAGTAATAGGCATATGATTTTTCTTTCTATTTGAATGCTACCTGTTGGCCTTAATATTGCTCCACACATGCTTTCCTAATGAAGGAGAACAGGTTGGAGCATTTCTACATACATATATGCACTTGAAGCAACTCAGAAAGGATGGTGTGGACCAGACATGCTTAAATCTTGAGATCTGAATTTTTTCCAAATAATACAATTGAGACAGGCCAGTATTTAGAATCATGTTTGAGCAAACAGGAAGCCATTTCCTACATATAAGGATAGTGTTGTATGTAGCGTTTCTTCAGAAGAATTATTTATTCATCTATTCATTGATTGGATGGCACAATACCAAACGTGGAATTCTATAGACCTTAGACCCATCATTCAGGAATGATATTGTGAAGACAGACTCCATAGTGAACCTTTGATAGTTGGCATGAATGTCTTCCAAACTGGGGATTAAAGTCTTGAGTCACATTATACAAGTAACAGTATGGCATTATGTAGCCAGACAAAATTATTTACAGACCAACATGAAACCAATGGAGTCACAAACTGTGTTACAGAGTACCCTGCTGGTATCAACCACTTCAGTCTACTTTGAGAATAACGGATTGAAGGGGTATAGTGTGGTATATGCGATGTGGCATTTCAAAGGTTGTTCTAAAACTCAGCTAAGTTCCACAAAGGAAGTAGATCAGGTCCCTTGGCAGGTCCACTTGCTTCTGATGGGAGCTCTCAGAGAGGTTTGCTGATTTACATTAGTGAGAGGGTCCCTGGGATTAGGTGTGGATTGATAAATTCGAACAGACTCCGAAGTCCATCTGCATGACAGAAAAAGTGCTTTTGCTGGATCTAAATCTGACTCCCTCTCCCAAAGTTTCAAAATAGGGGTATAGACATATTCTTGGTGTTCATCAGGCTTTTATTTTGTTAAACCCAGATAGTTTACAACCAGCCAAGCCTATGGTTTAGCAAATGAGCCCATGGAGGGCTTTGAATTCCTGAGGGTCACTCTATCTTCTAGCTGTTTTACCCTTAGATCATTCATTCATTGCTCTTAAAACCCCAAGTGGTTCCAGGATATAGTCCACTGCCCCATTTCATGGCCTTTGTCTTTCATTAGCAATCTCCCTGTTCCTAAAGATGATTTTGAGTTTTTAAGACAAAATGGCCTACCTTCTATCATGATGAGTCACTGTATCACGGCCTGAAGAATATTTTGATCCTTCCCCAAATAGGTGAATCTTTCCACACATCATGAGGATCATTCCGTGACACCTGCCACATGTTTACAAAGACCCTGTTTTCAGCATTTGAAGCCACCATATCAAGCCATCTCTACTTCTTCTCACACACCCTTCTAGCCTGGATGACAGGCACAGGACCTGGAGCTGAGACAGTGTGTCTGCCATCGGCAGTTAATGACCTGATGATAAAAATCCTTTCCTTTCTTTGTCTCCAGGACAACAGAAGGAGCCTGACCATGTAACACTGACATGACATCGTGAAAGTTGCTACCACAACAAAGGCTCTTCCTGCCATTCTATCCAATGCTGTCACCTTGTTTCACAGAAATGTCTGCAGTACAACAGCAGCTAATTTCTATTTTCCCACAGAGCTGCCTCTCAGAGTCACTTTGTAGTTGCCCTGCCTGTTTGAGCATAGTGGACCCTCAAAGCGAATCAGGCACTTACTACTTTGCACAGGTGCTAGCATAGCTGTTGAAGAAGAGAAACTTTGGAACTTTGCTGCTTCTTTGGAAGTGGTGGGTACTTTCCTGTGTCCAGCTTTCGATATTCAGATCCATTTGATCCAGAGGAGCCCCTACTAGGATATAGGACAACACTGTGAACAATGACTTTTTATTGCTTCTAAAAACCATCAAGTAAGGGTCTGCTGTTCAGCAGTCTTCCTCATGACGCCTCACCTCTGGACCTGGGTGTCCCTGTGAGACTCACCACTGAGTTGCCACAGCACAGTGCTCTGAGCATAGAACTTGCATGATGAATGTGCATGGGTGTGGCTGGAAAGGAA